CTACTTTAAAGAGTCCTCTCCTGCTGATGTTCAGGTGTATATCAGTATGCAGTGTCTCTACTTTAAAGAGTCCTCTCCTGCTGATGTTCAGGTGTATATCAGTATTTAGTGTCTCTACTTCAAAGAGTCCTCTCCTCCTGATGTTCAGGTGTATATCAGTATGTGGTGTCTCTACTTTAAAGAGTCCTCTCCTGCTGATGTTCAGGTGTATATCAGTATGTAGTGTCTCTTCTTTAAAGAGTCCTCTCCTGCTGATGTTCAGGTGTATATCAGTATGTAGTGTCTCTACTTTAAAGAGTCCTCTCCTGCTGATGTTCAGGTGTATATCAGTATGTAGGTGTCTCTTCTTTAAAGAGTCCTCTCCTGCTGATGTTCAGGTGTATATCAGTATGTAGTGTCTCTACTTTAAAGAGTCCTCTCCTCCTGATGTTCAGGTGTATATCAGTATGTAGTGTCTCTACTTTAAAGAGTCCTCTCCTGCTGATGTTCAGGTGTATATCAGTATGTAGTGTCTCTTCTTTAAAGAGTCCTCTCCTGCTGATGTTCAGGTGTATATCAGTATGTAGTGTCTCTACTTTAAAGAGTCCTCTCCTCCTGATGTTCAGGTGTATATCAGTATGTGGTGTCTCTACTTTAAAGAGTCCTCTCCTGCTGATGTTCAGGTGTATATCAGTATGTAGTGTCTCTACTTTAAAGAGTCCTCTCCTCCTGATGTTCAGGTGTATATCAGTATGTGGTGTCTCTACTTTAAAGAGTCCTCTCCTGCTGATGTTCAGGTGTATATCAGTATGTAGTGTCTCTACTTTAAAGAGTCCTCTCCTGCTGATGTTCAGGTTGTATATCAGTATGTAGTGTCTCTACTTTAAAGAGTCCTCTCCTGCTGATGTTCAGGTGTATATCAGTATGTAGTGTCTCTACTTTAAAGAGTCCTTTCCTGCTGATGTTCAGGTGTATATCAGTATGTAGTGTCTCTACTTTAAAGAGTCCTCTCCTGCTGATGTTCAGGTGTATATCAGTATGTAGTGTCTCTACTTTAAAGAGTCCTCTCCTGCTGATGTTCAGGTGTATATCAGTATGTAGTGTATCTACTTTAAAGAGTCCTCTCCTGCTGATGTTCAGGTGTATATCAGTATGTAGTGTCTCTACTTTAAAGAGTCCTCTCCTGCTGATGTTCAGGTGTATATCAGCTATGTAGTGTCTCTACTTTAAAGAGTCCTCTCCTGCTGATGTTCAGGTGTATATCAGTATGTAGTGTCTCTACTTTAAAGAGTCCTCTCCTGCTGATGTTCAGGTGTATATCAGTATGTAGTGTCTCTACTTTAAAGAGTCCTCTCCTGCTCATGTATGGAGCATCTGAAGTCAGTTTCTGTGCAGGCAGAGAAGTCGTTCACAGCTCAGAGTCTCCTTCAGGGCGACACGTGATGGACGTGGTGATGAACAGGAGGTCATATCGCTGACCTCTTGTTCATCAAACAGCCTTGGCATTCATTAGTAGCGTATCCAGACTCTGGATCATTTAGATTGTCCACAGTAGAGGTCGTCATTTTCTTCTTGTGCTCTCTCTATATAAAATGGTCGCGACACTACTCTTGGTATATACCCATGTTTAAAGTCAAATATACCGTGAAACAAGATTTTGGTCGTATCGCCAAGAAACACACACACATGATCACAATTAAACACAACAGCAAAGAGCAGCGGGGGCTAAGACCGTGTGTGTGTGTGTGTGTGTGTGTGTGTGTGTGTGTGTGTGTGTGTGTGTGTGTGTGTGTGTGTGTGTGTGTGTGTGTGTGTGTGTGTGTGTGTGTGTGTGTGTGTGTGTGTGTGTGTGGTGTGTGTGTGTGTGTGTGTGTGTGTGTGTGTGTGTGTGTGTGTGTGTGTGTGTGTGTGTGTGTGTGTGTGTGTGTGTGTGTGTGTGTGTGTGTGTGTGTGTGTGTGTGTGTGTGTGTGTGTGTGTGTGTGTGTGTGTGTGTGTGTGTGTGTGTGTGTGTGTGTGTGTGTGTGTGTGTGTGTGTGTGTGTGTGCAGCTTAATGACATCCTGTAGCTCACAGTGGGAGATTTAACAACAGCCCTGTCTCTCTCCTTCAGTAAACATTCCCAAATTACAAGGGCGACGGGGAATCGCCCAAAAATAGCCCCCGATCCATCCTCTTCCTCCTCTTCCTCGTCTTCCTCATCTTCCTCCTCGTGCTTTAAGCTGATTTTCCTTGAAGCTGTGCAGAATCGTCTGAAACACCTCCAGAGCAGTCGGCCCTGCAGAAGCTGTGAAATGATTGGATCGTTAAACCACTGCGATTAAAAGTGTTCAATATCTAACAATTACAGCTAACAGCTAACAGCTAACAGCTAACAGCTAACATGAACTAGCTTCACTCGCCTGCTTTAAACATGGATTTGTTGTTCCCAATGGAGCTGTTCAGTCATGCATGCAAACAGTTGTTTTCCTGTATCTTAATTAGGGTCTGAGACCTAGGTCGGCGCAACATATGTGAAAACTCA